ATACAGGTCAGGATATATAAAGGATACATGTTTAGGATATATAAAGGATACAGGTTCAGGATATATAAAGGATTCAGGTTCAGAATATATAAAGGATAGAGGTCAGGATATATAAAGGATACAGGTCAGGATATATAAAGGATACATGTTCAGGATATATAAAGGATACAGGTTCAGGATATATAAAGGATACAGCTCCAGGATACATAAAGGATACAGGTCCAGGATATATAATGGATACAGGTCTAGGATATATAAAGGATACAGGTCAAGATATATAAAGTATACAGGTACAGGATATTTAAAGAATACAGGTCCAGGATATATAAAGTATAAAGGTCCGGGATATTTTAAGGTTACAGGTCTAGGATATATAAAGGATACAGCACCAGGATATATAAAGGATACAGGTTCAGGATATATAAAGGATACAGGTCCAGGATATATAAAGAATTCAGGTTCAGGATATATAAAGGATACAGATCCAGGATATATAAAGGATACAGCTCCAGGATATATAAAGAATACAGGTCCAGGATATAAAAAGATACAGCTCCAGGATACGTAAAGGATACAGGTTCAGGATATAAAAAGAATACAGCTCCAGGATACATAAAGGATACAGCTCCAGGATATATAAAGTATACAGGTTCAGGATATATAAAGGATACAGGTCCAGGATATTTAAAGTATACATGTACAGGATATATAAAGGATACAGGTCCAGGATATATAATGGATACAGGTCTAGGATATAAAAACATACATGTCTAGGATATATAAAAGATACAACTCCAGGATGTATAAAGGATACAGCTCCAGGATATATAAAGGATACAGCTCCAGGATATATAAAGGATTTATAGAAAATAAGAGAGGAGGAGAAGAGATGATTTTCTTGACAAACGAAGCTAATCAATTTATCTGCATGTCTTTGAAGCTTCGTTTATAGTTGGATTTAGCCTTTTTCAACTAAACCGTTAACAATCAATTGTAAACTTTCAGATGTAAAATAAAAAGCGCAAACGTTAAGTCAACAAATCAAATAGTTCAAAATTGTTTTGGTTGACTTATTAATCACACTAATCAACAACTTTTGTTTGGATTTCAAAGATTAACTAACTTTTCGGTCTTGTCTTTTTCAAACAGACACTCCGCCCGACCTAAACCTTGCACTGTACTGGGTTTCGCTCAGTCCTATGTGATTGGCTTAATTTTTAATAAATTTTTAAATAAAATTTTTGAATAAAAAATTTAATTAAATCCAATAAAATATTCAACAAAAAGTGTGCTTGCAGGATTTCTATCTAGTTTGGAGTGTAGAATTATCTATATAGTTTGGAGTGTAGAATTATCTGTATAGTTTGGAGTGAAGAATTCATATCTATGTAGTTTGGAGTGTAGAATTTATATCTATGTAGTTTGAAATGTAGAATTTATATCTATTTAGTTTGGAATGTAGAATTTATATCTTTGTAGTTTGTAGTGTAGAATTTCTGTCTATGTAGTTTGGAGTGTAGAATTCATATCTATATAGTTTGGAGTGTAGAATTTATATCTATGTAGTTTGGAGTGTAGAATTTATATCTATATAGTTTGGAGTGTAGAATTAATATCTATGTAGTTTGGAGTGTAGAATTTATATCTATATAGTTTGGAGTGTAGAATTTATATCTATGTAGTTTGGAGTGTAGAATTTATATCTATATAGTTTGGAGTGTAGAATTCATATCTATGTAGTTTGGAATGTAGAATTAATATCTTTGTAGTTTGTAGTGTAGAATTTCTGTCTATGTAGTTTGGAGTGTAGAATTTCTATCTATGTAGTTCGGAGTGTAGAATTGTTCTATGTAGTTTGGAGTGTAGAATTTATATCTATGTAGTTTGGAGTGTAGAATTTCTATTTATGTAGTTTGGAGTGTAGAATTTCTATCTACGTAGTTTGAAGTGTAGAATTTTTATCTATGTAGTTCGGAGTGTAGAATTTATCTATGTAGTTTGGAGTGTAGAATTGCCATATTTAATAAAGGATCGGACAACTTTTCAATATGAGGAGGTAAACATTGGACAAATTTCAAGCGTTGACTATTTTATTTCGCAAAATTCTTTAGAAAATGAGGTTTAATCTTGCCACAAACTCAGATTTGCAACCCAATGTCGTAGACCTTTGATATTTCAAACTAGGAATTCTGTCAGATCAAATAGTCTAAAATATCAAAAGTTTACACCATGACGTTGCAAAGATATAGGGGATAAGAAAATTTGAATTTGAGGCTACACAATAGCTACAGGGCCTTCAATACAAGCAAGGTATTTAAGGTGAAAGACTGCCTCTACACATTTGTTGTACTACAGCCTGTAACACGTACTCAGTCGATCGGCTGATGGTGCGAAGCTACCATCCGTTGGAATATACCTGAACGCCTCTAAGGTAGAAACCAGCCTAGACATGGCTAATCATTTCCTTTCAGTTAGAGACAAGAAGTTGTCGTATCAAAATTAAAAATGAATAAAAGTTATTTATAAAAACGAAACGTGTACAAACAATTACATGCGGCGCAAAATTTATGTCTAAAAAAATACAAGGATGATTCATTTATTTATTTATTAAGATAATCTTCTTTATTGAATTTGTCCCGCAATGAAGGTTATAACAGCGTTAGGTTGAGGAAAGAAGATTACCGGGACCTGGAGAAGAAAAGGTTTTATCCTGAACCCGTCCTTTCATATTCAATCTCAGGGTAGACCTAGAGCCATGATGAGAAGAGAAGGGTAAAAAGGGAAGATAATTACAATATATAGAGGGAGAACAAACAAAAAACATTAGAATTATCGACGTCTACTTTTTTTAAACCTTTGATGTTTCAAAGTTAGATTATCTGATCTAACAAAATTCATAGTTTGAAATATTTAAACGTATACGACATTGGGTTACAAAGATATAGTAATTACCAAATCTGAGTTTGTTGCAAAGACCACGAATTCCTTTCATTTAATAATGTGAATACTAAAAAAAAAATGTTAACCAATATTTTTTCTATTTTTCATTTTCGCAAAATACAAATGTTTCTTTATCCTTTTTTTATTTCATTGTAAAAGATAAAAAATGTTTCCTTGTAAAATAAATTGATCAAAGAAAGTTGTTTAATTTCTAAATTGAGAATAAGAAAATAGAAGAAGTTTGTTCCATTTCTATGTTAGGATCTAGCAGGGCAAGGATATGTAAAGATTATGTTATATATAAGAATATAGAAATAAGAAACTAGAGAATGATTGGCGCGAACTTTTCAATAACAATATTTTCCATTAAAAACTTCTAGGAAGGGAAATTTTCTTTTCAACAACTTCAGACCAAATTATTTTGTTCTTCTGAAGAAGAAAATAAAAAAGTTTAGAGGGTATAAACATCTGTTGGATTTGGTAGTTTAAAATATCAAAGGTTTATGCCATCAGGTTGCAAAGATATAGGGATTAGAAAATTTAAGTTTGTGGCAAAGATTCAATTTCTTTGTTAACCTTTATTTATTTCAGAAAATATAATGTTAGTATTTGTTGAGGATTGGTAGATAAAATACAAGTAGACCTTGCCTGGTCTACGAAGAAGGAGACGGGTTTACCAGAACCTGATTTATCCGGAGTCGGATAATGTTCGATTTCTCTTCTTTCAAATGGGTTCTACTTCTCCTACCACTGTTAGGTGCAGTATTTATATTTATATTTCAAATAATTAGAATCAGAGCTGAAAACTTTAGAATTGGAGCCCTTTAATCCCGATTGATTCATCTCAATATCCGATGTGGACACTTTTAATTTACTTCTTAATCCGATCTTTTCCTTTCTCTTTCTCTTCTGCCAGTTTCCGAACAATGAGCCTTCAGTAAATGGCGCGCAAAATTTCAAATTTCCCGGCTTCTCTGATTGGCTCTTCAGGTTTCTTCAAACCCCACTCGATTGGTTTAGTTATATACACTTTTGTAGATACAAACTTAATATAAAATTAATCTTGAAATTAATAAAAAGAGAAGACAAAGTATTGATCTCGATATCCACAATTTTAAAGTTTTCATTAGGATAGTTTGAGGATAGTTTAGAGAGTATTAGATCTCTATAAAGTGCTGGATAATGCAGAGAGCTAGACTCTATATATACCTAGACCTAGAGTTCTATTCCTTGTACCATTAGATCCAGAATTAGGAATAAATTATAATATTTTGGAATAATTTGTAGATTTAGTCCTCCTTCCTACTTAGGAACATTTTACAAATCTTGATCGAACTTTGTCTTTTCTTATGTTCCTTAGTCCCTCCTTCCTCTTTACTCATCTTTGTTCCCCATCCCTCTTCTTCATGTCTCTTTTCTTCTGTTCCTTAGTCCCTCCTTCCTCTTTACTCATCTTTGTTCCCCATCCCTCTTCTTCATGTCTCTTTTCTTCTGTTCCTTAGTCCCTCCTTCCTCTTTACTCATCTTTGTTCCGCATCCCTCTTCTCTATGTCTCATTTCTTCTGTTTCTTTACTCATCTTTTGTTCCCTCTTCTTCATTATCTTTTTCCTAACAATTTATCTTCTCCACTATTTCTCGTACACTACTATTTCTGACCTTAAAGGGATCATTTTCACCTATTTTAAAGCAACACAGCAAGAAATTTAGTCCTTGCCACAAACTGAAATTTTCTAATCCCTACATCTTTGCAACCTGATTTGATTATTTGATTTAACAGAATTCATAGTTTGAAATATCTAAGGTTTACGACATTGGGTTGCAAATATATAGGGATGAGAAAATTAAGATTGCGCCAAAGACTAAACTACTTACCTTGATATTTTAAAGAAAGAAATAATTTTTAACCTATATTTAAAAGAATTTCTCCAGAAGAATCCAACCTCTCTCCGGATCTTTAACATGTAAATATCTAGGAGTATGTGAGGAGGCAGAGCTACCTGGGGTTCACCAGGAGAATCCATCCTCTCTCCGGTTCTTTAACATGTAAATATCTAGGAGTATGCGAGGAGGCAGAGCTACCAAGGTTTCTCCAGGAGAATCCAACCCCTCTCCGGTTCTTTAACATGTAAATATCTAGGAGTTTGTGAGGAGGCAGAGCTACCAAGGTTTCTCAAGGAGAATCCAACCTCTCTCCGGTTCTTTAACATGTAAATATCTAGGAGTTTGTGAGGAGGCAGAGCTACCAAGGTTTCTCAAGGAGAATCCAACCTCTCTCCGGTTCTCCAACACTAACGGAACCATCCTGCACTGCGAGATTTCAGGTTAAATAACCCACCTGCTAATATAGACTGTAAGCATAATTTCAAGTGACCATTTAATTAAAGAGGGCCGTGTTCGATTCACAACGGTACCTCTAAACTATTAGCTGATCAATAATATGGAAGATATAATAGTTCTTCTAGCTTGAAAAGTGTTTCTCACTATTTCCTCTATTTTTTCTGTAGAACCGCAGCAGCAGCATACTCACAAGAAGAGCAAGGATATTTCACATCTTCAACATGTATCTTCAGATCCCCTTGATGTAGTAGCGACATGTTCACATTGAGCACTTTTTAAAAGAGAATTCATATTAATCTCAATTATTCTTGATCAGACAGAGCTTTTGAGGGTGAATCGGACATTCCACTCTATGGAGAGTCCCCTAAATATTACAAAGCACCTTGATATAAGCTTGTCAATATATTCCATATCTGTTCCTCTCCAAACCTTGGCGAATGCGCTTTCTTTCCTTTCGGAGATCTAGTAAAGTTTTTCTTTAAACTTTACGGGTAAATTTTATGTTCAGATTAATATCATGAAAAATAATCGAATTAACAAAGTTCAGTAATAAAAACTAATGTATGAACAGTGTAAAAAATTAATTGATTTTAATTATTATATTTTACATGAAACCGACAATATTTGATTAAATCCATCCTCACCGATCCAAAAACCAAAACTATTTCTGGACTCGGGCCATACACCAATATATGCTGGATCCGTCCCAAATTAGCTTCAAATATACAGCTCAGGCTTTACAATTTGCCTCTCCTGTCCAGAGAATTTAGAATTATCATAGAAATAAAACAATTAACAGAAACTTAATGCATTAAACTTGTCATGTTCAACTCGTCTTTTCCAAATCTATATCTATATATATACTTTGCTTGTCTGTCTGTCCGTCTGTCTGATGGTATCCAATAAACGTCAAAACTGCTGAACCGATCGGGCCCAAATTTTTTGTGGGACCCATGACCCCAGGGAAGGTTTATGGATGCTCAAAATTACAAAAATTGGTGTCCAAAAGTTTTTGATTTTGTAAAAATTCGAAAATCCGCAAAAAAATGTATCAAGTTAACGAACTTGTTGTTTGTTATTGTTTTGTATTGTACAAAGAGATACCAAAATAGAAGATGGGCGCGAAGCGCACTAAACTATTATTTATAACTTCCCACGGTCCAAAAAAATTTCCCTCTAAACAACCTCTTGTTCTGACCACGACCTTTGTTCACAATCTTTCTAAATGTTTTTTTTATAATAAATAATATCCTTGAGCTTCTATAATATATCAAAGTAAAATATAATCTAACCCTATGTTATCCCTCATCCCTCATAATTGATTGATTGATTGATTGATTATTGGTTTTAGTGCCTGGAGCCGAGTACACTTGGTTTGAGAGAGATGTCCAGATTTACGAGGATAAAAAGCTACGAATTATGCTTAACAATGGTTCTCTTCTCTTCCCCCCATTCAGGTACATTTCTCTTCCCTTACTTCAAGATTAAATTAATTTCTCTCCCCTTCCCTAGGTTTAAATTTATATTTCTCCCTTCCCTAGGTTTAAATTTTTATTTCTCCTGTTCTTTTAGGAAAAAATTTATTTTTTCTCCTTCCTTTAGAATTTATTAATTTCTCTCCCCTTCCCTCAGGTTTGAATTATTTTTTCTCCTCTTACTTCAGGTTTAAATTCATTTCCCTCCATCCTATAGGGTTAAATTAATTTCTCTCCCCTTCCCTCAGGTTTCAATTAATTTTTCTTTCCTTTCTTCAGGTTTAATCTCATTTTTCTCCCCCTCCTTCAGGTTTAGTAAATTTTTCTCTCCTTCTTCAGGTTTAAAATAGTTTTTCTCCTTACTTCAGGTTTAAATTCATTCCTCTCCTCTTACTTCTGTTTAAAATAATGTTTCTCCCCTTCCTTCATATCTCTTCCCTTCCTTCATCCTTAAATTCTCAATTTGTCTCGCCCTTCAGGTTTGCATGGGGGTTTCGATTTATGTTTCTTTTAGTTTTATTTTCCATTTTAATTCTTTATCTTCTGATTTTGTTTTAAAGTTTGATTTTTTTTATAAGACTCATGCTGATGCTGGTGCCTCAGTTTTCAGTTATTATAATTTCCGTTTCAAATAGAAATATTTGTGATTTGAATTTTGTTATCTGAGATGTGCTCCCCCATAGTTGAGAGATATAAAGGTTGAAGGAATCCTTTCATCTCCGACTGCAGATGAAATCTAATGCTTGAAGATTTAAAAACAAATAATGTGAATACTATCTTGTCAATGCTAGAGTAATACAGAATATGAAATATTCTTCTTCTTCTTCTTCTTCTTCTTCTTCTTCTTCTTCTTCTTCTTCTTCTTCTTCTTCTTCTTCTTCTTCTTCTTCTTCTTCTTCTTCTCCTACTCCTTCTCCTTCTCCTACTCCTAACAATTTCTATATTTTAGTTCGTATGAGTATGATCCTCGAATCCATAGTTCTAAATATGAGTGCAGGGTTCGATACAACAAACTTGGATTGATATCCACCCCAGTTACCCTGTATCCAGGTATACCAAACCTATATCCACCCGACTTACCCTGTATCCCGTTATACTAGAACCTATATACACCCGAGTTACCCTGCATCCAGGTATACTAAACCTATATCTACCCCAGATCCAGGTATACTAAAATCTATATCCACCCCAGTTACTTTGTATCAAGGTATTCTAGAACATATATCCACCCCAGTTACCCTGTATCCAGGTAATGTAAGACCTACCTTATGATCTGATGAATATGATCTCTTTGCTTTTACAATAATTGCTAAATGTATTTATTTAAATCGCCTAAAATATACGAATTTCGTGAAAAGCTGAAATAATAAAGTAGTATCCTAATTCCTTTTTTAAGAAATTTATCCTATTTAATGCATTGATATTGGATTTATTTCTTCTTGAATTTTCTGATTTAATCTTGTTGATGGAGGATCTTAAACATATCTCAAGGTTCATAATTTCAGCACAGTGTCAACTCTCATCTCTTCCATGCAAACTATTTTAAACAAGTTCGATTAGAGCTGTAAGATCACGTGTTAGATCTTTTCTTAGAACATGATTCTACAGGAAAAGGAAAGGAAGAATGTAGGATGAACTAGAAAGGAGAAGGACGGACAGGAAAAGGAAAGGAAGAATGTAGGATGAACTATAAAGGAGAAGGAGGGACAGGAAAAGGAAAGGAAGAGAGGAGGATGAACTAGAAAGGAGAAGGAGAGACAGGAAAAGGAAAGAAAGAATGTAGGATGAAACTAAAAGGAGAAGGAGGGACAGGAAAAGGAAAGGAAGAATGTAGAATGAACTAAAAGGAGAATGAGGGGAAAAGGAAAATAAATAGAAGAAAATCAGAAGTAAGGAGAAAATAAGGAAAAATGTAGGAAAGAACTAAAGAGGATAAGGATGTTTTAAAGAATGTAGGATGAAGTGTTTCTTCTTCAAACAAGCATAAACGATAAAATTAAACATACTAGACATAAATCAAATTTTCTCAAATATGTTTTGTCGATAAATATTTCCTTTATTGGATATTTCAGCAGAGAAACCGAATTGGTAAAAAAATTCTCTGAAATTATTTAAAAAGTAAAAATAGAACTGAAAAGAGTTCATCAAGAGAGAAAAGATTAACTTCTTAAAACTTGATGATTTGTCATTACTCCTTGATTGCTCCAACCCTGGAGATATAAAACTATCTTGAGGCATGTGTTTAGTTGGTACCTGGAGAGGGACGGAGAGTTGAGAAGGTTGGTTCCTAGCTCCAGGATACAAATTCATCTAGAGACACTCACTATTTTACAGGTAACCATTATTTGATTTAAATTAAATTGAAAGGTATATTTTAACTCTTCATTTAAGGGCGCATTTTTGACTCAGTTTTGACGTTTAGCGGAAAAGTGATAAAAACCAGACAAGCAATATATTGTACAGAGAGTTTAGTTCTTATATTTTAGATAAATCCTGAAGATACGGGGATATACACTTGTCATGTTAATATATTGTAAAGAGAGTTATGTTTAGTTCTTATATTTTAGATAAATCCTGAAGATACCGGGATATACACTTGTCATGTTAACATATTGTAATTGTAAAGAGAGTTTAGTTCTTATATTTTAGATAAATCCTGAAGATACCGGGATATACACTTGTCATGTTACAAACTCTATACTCCAGGACTCAGCAAGGTATACAGTAGGATCCAGAAGAATGTAGAGTAAAAAGACGACAGTTAGACTTAAGATATGTTCTTAAACAGCCAAATCAACATAAAGCACAGCACTTTTCCAGCTACTGTTAAAATTATTTGATCTATAACAACATCAAATACAGATAAAAATGCGTTAATGTCGTCTTTATAGTCCTCAGTTTTTATAAATCTAACTGAATCTGAAAAACAAATTTTATCAAAAGACGAGGTTTCATCTATATTTGTCATTGATCATAATGGATGAATATCATTAGTTATATATTCTTCATATTCTACATATACTTATATCTATCGGTACCGACTAGGAATTCATTAATTATTCTTCAAAAATATTCTTCTGATGATTATAGAGATTCATTTTATTTGGTACTACTAGTTCATATCTTGTATGTTCCTTTCTGTTAAGTCAATTATAAAAATTTATTTTATTTAATTCTAAATTTTGTTAGTTTTTCCGGCTCCCCCCGGTTCTAGTCTAGGTCTAGGATAAGGTTTGTAGGTTCAAGTCTAGGTCTAGAATAAGGATTGTAGGTTCAAGTCTAGGTCTAGCCCCCCCCTCATAGACCAAATCCGTTTTTTCTTGTCAACGTAATTTTATGGACGTTAGCAAATTTTGTTGTAAAAATCTTAATTTTCCATTCAAAAATTGCGTGCAAAAGAGAAAAAGATTTCAATGGCACCGTTGTGAATCGTTGATGTAATTTTTAAATAAAAGAGTTTTTATGTTGCTTGGTTCGTTCCAAGTGAGAGTACTTAAGTAAAACTTTCTGGGGGATTGTGTTTTCGGTTTGATCTTCAATTGAATTTGATAGAAATAAAATTCTATTTTGATATTTTATAGTTTTGATAAAATGTTGATTTTTTTGTTTCAGTAATAGAAGAGGGAGTAGAGGTGAGGGTAAAGGATGTTTATGTTTATGCTGGGAACAGCGCCATACTCAGGTAGTGTACAGTTGTACATGTTATGTACATTACACACAGTTTATATTGTAAACACAATGTACCAAGTGTTGTGTATATTTAATAAAGTGAATGCTGTACACTGAGTATTTAACAAAGTGTGCAATGTACACTGAGTATTTAACAAAGTGTACAATGTACAGTGAGCATTTACCAAAGTGAACACTGTACAGTGAGTATTTAACAAAGTGAACAATGTACAGTGAGTATTTAATAAAGTGAACAATGTACAGTGAGTATTTAACAAAGTGAACAATGTACAGTGAGTATTTAATAAAGTGAACAATGTACTGTGAGTATTTAACAAAGTGTACACTGTACAGTGAGTTTTTAACAAAGTGAACAATGTGCAGTTTATATTTAACAAACTGTACACTTTATTGTACAAAGTGTAGAGTGTACTTTGAATATTGTAAAAAGTGTAAAATGTAAAGTATACAATGTACAGCATACAATACACATGTAGAGTATGTTTTATGCACTTTATATTTTTCAAAGTTTACACTGTTTATTGTAAATTTTAAAAAGTATACTGTACACTGTATTGTATATTATACAAAGAGTACAGTGTAAGGTGTATAGTGTAAGTATACAGTGTATAGTGTACAGTGTACAGTATACAGTGTATACTGTACAGTATAAGGAACCTTGTAAAGTTCATCTTAAAGTTACAAGGTACATTTTTTTGTACAAATTATGTTATTTTTTCTTCATTCGTTCATTTAAACTTTTGTTAACTTTAAACTTTATTTTTCTTTTCTATTTTTATTCTTTATTCTTATTTTATTAAAATCCCTCCGCTTTCATAAACTTTTCAATTTGTAAAATAAAGGTTCTACACATGGTTACGAATTTTATATTAGTTTTAAAAACAAAACTAATAAAAAGTTATTTTTATTTTATACAACACATAAAGTTCTGAAACAGGATATCTATTCTATTGGAAATTATTAGAGTTACAAATTATATTTCCACATTTATACATTTGATTATTCAAATGCATTTTGCTTCTCATCTTGATTTTTAAAATTGTCAAACGCTTTTAAGAAGTCCAACGTGTAAGTTAAATGTCATTCAGATTGTTTCTCTTTTAGCTTTTCCCGCCATAATCAAAAATGTAACTAAAAATCAGAAAAATATCTTATTCACCAACCTATAGATCGCTTAAATGGATTAAACTATTTTTTTGCTCTTTTGTTTGACAAAAAACTTGAAAAAGATCTGAATCGCAACTTTAAAAAGAATTGAAGGCTCTTTGTGGCAAAGGCTTGCCATAAACTCTGAATTTCTTATCCCTATATCTTTTATACCCCAATGTTGTAGACCTCAAATTTTTCAAACTATAAATTCTGTTAGATCAAAAAATCTTAGTTTGAAATATCAAAGGTTTAGACCATCAGGCTGCAAAGATATAGGGATTATAAAATTTGAGTTTGTGACGAATACTTAACTCTTTTTGCCTTACCTAGATGTGATATACCGTATCATACTACCTCCTTCATCCATCTACTCCACTGGAAGGATGGAACAGGACGAAGGTTGGGACAAGCTCCGGGAGAAGTTGGGAGAAGGACGGATGAGGGAGGATTACCAAAAGCTGTGCGAAGGTTGGGAGAAGTGTTTGGTGAAACGGGAAAATACTCCGTACTTACTTCTGGAGAACTGATTATTCATCATTCCTCTAGCTATGACGAGTACACGCAGTTTAAGTGTACTGCTCTAGATACACTCACAGGTGTGAAGTTATCATTGTACTGTATATTTGATTTGGTTAATATAGTTATTTTGGGTTTGAGAATGAGGTTTATATCTAAATCAAGGATTCTAGTTCGTGATGTTAATCTTACATACAATTTACACTAGTTTTACATTAAATAAGGGTTTGAAGGTTTATGTATAGGTCTAGGATAAGGTTGTAGATTTAAATCTAGGTCTAGGATAAGGTTTGTAGGATCAAGTCTAGGTCTAGGATAAGGTTTGTAGATTTAAGTATACGTATAAGATAAGGTTTGTAGGTTCAAGGCTAGGTCTAGGATAAGGTTTGTAGGTTTAAGTCTAGGTCTAGGATAAGGTTTGTAGAATCAAGTCTAGGTCTAGGATAAGGTTTGTAGATTTAAGTCTACGTATAAGATAAGGTTTGTAGGTTCAAGTCTAGGTCTAGGATAAGGTTTGTAGATTTAAATCTACGTATAAGATAAGGGTTGTAGGTTCAAGTCTAGGTCTAGGATAAGGTTTTTAGGTTCAAGTCTAGGTCTAGGATAAGGTTTGTAGATTTAAATCTACGTATAAGATAAGGTTTTTAGGTTCTAGTCTAGGTCTAGGATAAGGTTTGTAGGTTCAAGTCTAGGTCTAGAATAAGGATTGTAGGTTCAAGTCTAGGTCTAGGATAAGGTTTGTAGGTTCAAGTCTAGGTCTAGGATAAGGTCTGTAGGTTTAATTCTAGGTCTAGGATAAGGATTGTAGGTTCAAATCTAGGTATAAGGAAAAGGTTTGTAGGATCAAGTCTAGGTCTAGGATAAGGTTTGTAGATTTAAGTCTACGTATAAGATAAGGTTTGTAGGTTCAAGTCTAGGTCTAGGATAAGGTTTGTAGGTTCAAGTCTAGGTCTAGGATAAGGTTTGTAGGTCCAAGTCTAGGTCTAGGATAAGGTTTGTAGGTCCAAGTCTAGGTCTAGGATAAGGTTTGTAGGATCAAGTCTAGGCATAGGATAAGGTTTGTAGGATCAAGTCTAGGTCTAGGATAAGGTTTGTAGGATCAAGTCTAGGCATAAGGAAAAGGTTTGCAGGTTAAATTCTAGACCTAGGATAAGGTTTGTAGGTTTAATTCTAGGCATAGGATAAGGTTTATGCGACAAATCTAGGTCTAAGATAAGGTTTATAGATCGAATTTAGGTCTATGATAAGGTTTATAAAATCAAGTCTAGGTTTAGGATAAGGTTAGTAAGATAAGTTTAGGTTTAGCAGAGGGTTTGTAAGATAACATCTGGGTCTAGGATAAGATTATTAAGATCAAGTCTAGGTCTAGAATAAGAAGTTTAATACTACCAACCTGTTAATAATATAATGAAATGTTTAGGAAAGGTTTATGAGAGCAATGTTGGACGTGTTTTTGTAACAGGTTGGGTATACAGTTATATTTTATATCTTTATTCTACACATTTCAATTCCTTGTCTTTCTTCCTTCCTCTTCCTTTATCCTCCTCCATTATCCTCCTCCATTATCACTCACCAGTGTGCATCCAATACCCTACATCACATCTCTTCACAAAACCTTTTTAGAACTTCTCTTTACCCTCAACACATCAAATTAAAATATGTTTAATGTGAAATTGAAATCTTACAGGGTTTAAAGGGGTTTTTATTGGGTTGGAAATATATTTTTTTAAAATGGATTTTCAAGGCACGTTTTAAAATGTACAGAAACTTCCAGCTTTTTCTTTCCGGCGGGGCAGAAAACTGCCGAAATCAACACCACCGTTTCTCATTTATCCTATGATGGAACCCTTTTTAATTGTCAAACTCAGTACTCTTAAACAACAGCTTAGTAAATCATGAAGCAACTTCTGTTTCCTTAATATTTATTCTGAACAATATCCTTTATACCTTCAGCTCTCCTTCCGCCATTAACATCCTTCAGCTAACCACTAGCTCTGTACTTCGCAAATATTTCGAATAATTAAATAATTTTATTTCTGTTTGAATTATTTAATTCCCTGGATTCTGAACCTGACACAAAATTTATAATTTAAACAAAATTATGAACTTTTAATTTCTCAAATTCGGATGAATTGCTGAGATATTAGGATGATGTCATACGTACCAAATACTAATGAAAGGATTCTTGTTAAAATACAAAACAACCATATTTTATTTTAAAAAATGAAGAAAAAGAACATTGAATAACTAAACCAAATTAAACAAGTGAAAATTTAATTTAGGTGATTAATTAAATAAAACACAACATGGACACCAAAGAACAAAACACAATGAAACTTTAATTTTGCAATCGGCAAAAAAGACAAAAATATAAAATATTTTAAAAAAATCTAATTATTTTCATAGATCTAATGCTTTATAATATTCCAGATTCTCCTGGTACAGAGGAGACCAGCCTAACGTTTCCTGAGAAGAATTCTAGCAAGCTTATCCTGGTACCTGGAGAACATCTTAGGAATTATATTCTCAACCTTTTAATCATCTTATGAATGTTTAGAATTAGAACTTCAAGAAAGGTTTTGTTCAGAGCATTTTTAATCTATTCTTTAATATTCAAAAAGCATATATTAAATTAAATGTTGAATGCGTTTTTCAGGAACTGAGTTTTTGCCACAAACTCTGATTTTTAATTCCTATATCTTTGCAACGCAAGGTAGTAGACCTCTAATATTTCATACTATGAATTCTGTTGGATGAAATAGTCTAAGTTTGAAATATCAAAAGCTTTTATCTTCAGGTTGCAAAAATACAGGGATTAGAAAAGTTTAGTTTGTGACAAAAACTCAATTTCTTTGGAAAAAGTTTGTGAAAACCCTTGCTGATGAATATTGTTGGCTCTAGGGTTGCATGTGTAGGAAGGGGAGTTCCTGCACCGGAAACTATGTAAGTAAAAAACAAGGTTGTATTTTAAGGTTGGTTACTTTTGATGCGTTCCAAGGTACAGATAATGTCGTCTCCTTAGCATAGATAGATAGGACAGCACTGATTATAGAGGCGAGGTTGACGTCATAAGAGGATTCTATCTATCAAGGCTAAGGAGACGAAATTTTCCGTATATTGTAGTGCATCGAGAGTAACCAACCTTATTACAGAACCTTGGTAAGAACAGTCTAAAACACAGTAAAAGTGGCACAAATGGGAACACACGATTATACATCATTAGAATGCACAACATGTTCTGAACAGAAACACATGATGGGATAAAAACATTACGATTGGTAACGTAAAATGAATTCACAGTTAAAGAAAAAAGAAATACACAGTATAATGTCAAAACAAAAACACAGTGGCGAAAATAGGAGTAAATGTACAGCAAAGAAAACACACAAAAGAAAGCAAGAAAACGCGTCTTTCAAAGAGGTAGTCGTTGCAAAAACTTGAAAACTAGTGTTAGAAACTCTTCTGTTATGAAACCATGTGTAAAAAGCGTGCTGAATCCTATTAAATATTTGAGAACTAAAGAAAACCACTCAAAGCATGTTCTTCACTAATTTGAAGGTTCAGCTTCTAGTTCTGCAATACAAATAATTAGAAATAATTAAACAGAAGAAAAACATGAAACTGTACACTGGTTTCTTCATTCCTTGCCATCAAACAATTTCTTCAAGAAACAGATTTTGCTCCGTATTTCATAGATGTAAAATAGAAAGAAAGAAAGAATGGGGGGGGGGATAGAAAAGAGAAAGAGGAAAAGGAAAGGGAGAATATAGGGGTAACAAACAAAGAGAAGGGGGAATGGGAAATTAAAGGAAGAATGTAGAAAAAATAAACTATAGAAAGGAGAATAAGGAAGGAAAATCAAAGGAAAAATATTAAAGGGAACTAAAATAAGATTCAGAGAAATAAATAAAGGAAGAATGTAGGATGAACTAGAAATGAGAAGGAGGGACAGGAAAAGGAAAGAAAGAATGTAGGAGGAACTAGAACTGAGAAGGAGGGGCAGGAAAAGGAAAGGTAGAATATAGAAGGAACTAGAAAGGAGAAGGAGAGACAGGAAAAGAAAAGGACGAATGTAGGATGAACTAGAAAGGAGAAGGACGGACAGGAAAAGGAAAGGAAGAATGTAGGATGAACTAGAAAGGAGAAGGAGGGACAGGAAAAGGAAAGGAAGAATGTAGGATGAA